TCCTATTTAAAATTACTTCTTTGTCACATATAAAATTTTTTGATATGTAAAATACTGTAAAGTCAAAAGAAAAGTTTCTGTTTTAAAGACACTAGAATGTATTTATGCTGCCAGTCTCTTTGAGATCTCTAATGATCACCTAAACACACTAAACTAAGCTTTATTTGTACTTCTGGCATTGTGGAGAAATTCAATAGTGTTCAATGACACTTGTAAAGTTTTTCCTCGATGCCTTTCACGGTACTGTAGAAATAACCATACTAAGCTGTAAACAAGAACTGAAACAACATAAAAATGTTTAAGAAAGGGATGTTGTTTTGGACAAACATAGGCAGAAATTGTTACTAAGTAATATTTAATTCCTAATTTATTGCTATTGAAATAAAACTCATCTTAATTTAGTTTTTCTCTATATTACAAGAGTGCAAGGGTGCAATGATGGCACAGTGTACAATTTTCTTCTGAGTTTTCCATACCTGCTATTTCTTCCTAAATTCAGAATTCATCCAGAACACCTGTTTGGCTTTCTTTCAGGGTTTGTTTTTGTTTTGGTGTTTTTATTTGTTTGTTGTTTTTTGTTCGGTTTGTTTTGTTTCATTTTCCAAGCAAGTTTTCAGCTTGCTTAAGGAAAGAACTTGTAAACCAATTCTAATAATTCAACAGGTAATAAACTAAAGAATTAAAAGACTTTGGACTACAATCACTTTTTAATACTGTGATTTCATGCTTTACTAATAATATTGTTCATGAATTGTTGCTATTTACATTTATAAGTGTAACACATTCAGTGTAAGGCTAGACTATTTTTTTCCATTGGTGGCAGACAAGCTCTCTGCCTGGAATTCTTTTCAGTTTTGCACCCAAAATCATCTTAGAAAAAAATAGAAATGCTTTTTAAAGTGGACCAAATAATGGTGTTGTAATAAAGCCATTCAGGTACAATTAGTCTAAAAGCAAGAGAACAAAAATTTTATTAGCTCTTATGAGGTCATAATGTGGCTCTTTGTTTTTATTCTGTCTGTGGTATGCATAGTAAGTAATTCCTTATTTCTGTAGTGCATTTTTTAGTAACCACTATTACCTCCTAATTCATACATCAAACACCATAATATCTGCTTACTTAAAATCATTCTGATTTTCCCTGTAAGCTACTCTCCCCTTTCTTAGGAGAGCATCACAAGAAAAAAAAAAAAACAACAGAACTGAATGACCTATTTTTTTTTATCTGAGGGTGATGAAAATTTATATTTGTTCTTCTTAATCTCTCAAGGAGCAGTGAACTCCTTTAAATTCTCTTACATCCAGAACCACAAAGCAGAACCAGCTGCCATCACAGAGTGGCAGGAGATTTCTGGTTACTTTGACTTTGGGCTTCTGAGCCTTGGAGAACCCTGGGGGTTTTTTCTTTCACTCTGCAGCTGCTCAATACTTTGGGGACCTGAAAAATACCTACAAAGGATCTGAAACCTTGACACCTGAAAATAGGTACCCTCTGAGAAATGGGAACCCAAAACTGAAGGCTACCTAAATCAAGAGTTCCTTTTCCACAGCTCAGAATCCATTCAGCTGCTTTAAACCTTTTGCCCTGGCAAGTCCATGTTTAATTTGTCCACAAATTTAGAAACACTATGCATATGTGAGAGTCTCTTGCAGGGTCACCATAACTGAAAACTGGTTTCACTGATGAAAACAGTGAACCCTCCTTGTGGGAGGGTTCAAATTGGCTCCCCCTGAGCAGTTCTGACACCAGGGAATGTCTAGAATCTCTTTCTTGGTTCTGCAGTATCCTCCTTAATTTGTGTCATAAAAATGCTGCTCTCCATATCTCAGCATTGAAATGCTCTGAATCCAGGACCTGAAGCACACCAAGTATCCTGATGAGGGAGGGAAGACAGGAAGAGAGATGGAATTTTGTTGATAGCCATACTGATTCCCATTAAAAAAATCCCATTTTATGTTTGTTGAAATTGCTGGAAGAGTATTGTTTTTAATGAAAATATTTTTCTTGATTAAACAGAGAATAATAGGAATGTTTTTGACCATCTAATTAGGCAGAAGGAGAGGCCACCAAATGTTGAGGAATCAATCTGATAATGGGAAGGCTTTGAATTTAAAGCTGCCTGAGTGTCATAGTGGCAGAGAAACTATATATGAACGTCATGACAATTTAGCCGGTTAGCTCTAAGTATTAATGTGGCCCATATAGTTCAGAAATAAACATTTTATATCCATTGTTAACTGGTTTTATACAGATTTGCTAAAGAAATCTGGCATCTCTAGTTATACTAGAGGTCCATTCATCTGCCTGACAACTTCTGTGTGAATCTGATCAGCCTGAGAGTGGGACAGACCTCAGAAAACTCTTTTACTGTCAACATACACAAAAACACATGCCCAAATAATGTCCCAAATAATTTAACACTCAAATAGTGTAGTGTGAAGGGAAGTGCAATGTCAGTTCAACCCTGCTGGGAGATTTCAAAGAACCAGCTCTTGAGAAACCTGTGGAAAAGTAGCCTCTGTAAATGCTGCTAATTGTGCTAAACCTGCCTTTTCCTTGTCCAGTTTGCTATCATTGATTAGTAGAAATGCATTCATCTCGCACTTGGGTGTTTTGCTAAGAAAGTGGGAAGGAAAATCTAAATCAACTGACCTCTCTGCTATTTAGGTTATGGCATCAAGAGGTGTGCAAGGCTTGGCACGTTTGCCATGCCAGCTATAGGCACATTTTGATCAGATTGGTGGCTATCCTGGCAAGCCATGCAAACCTAGCAATGACACAAGGGACTGGATATGTGTTGTCAGATGCTATTTTCTGTTCTATTTTCTCCCCTCTTGCCCTGGTCTCTTCTCTCACTTCCAGGATTTTACAACATCTGAAATGACAGTGTCAGAAATTGCACAAAACTGCATCACACAGGATGTTGCCACCACAGGAAAATATGACTGAAGCAAGCTCAGGCTGTCTGAACATCTACAAGAGCACTGTCATGTCTCATTCATTCCTGATCACAGCTGCAGGATCAATGATTTTTCCAAGCACTGTGATTTATTTCTTGAGAGGAGGCTTATTTGAATGAAAATACTAATACAAGCAAATTAGTTTTGGGCATGCTGAACTGAGATAGATCCCTTTTGCTTTCTGATTTATTTTCTGTTAAGTAATTCAGGAGATTTATATGCATTCTGTCTCCGAGTGATTTTTCCTCTGATGGGACTCACAGAAGTGTGCATTTAGAATGGGTAGGCTCCTGCAGTCCTGAAACTCAGTTTCTCACACCAGGGCGCTGATATGCTGAAACCAGACACAATGAGGTTCCTCTGCTCTCTCCTCTCCTCTGCAGAGTCTCTGGCATGGGCCAGAAAGGCAGGAATCACCTTTCTGACCATGCAGCCTGACCTCAGGAATCCCACAAAGCTCTTGCCTTCCCACAATACCCTTTCTCTCCCATAAGCTGTATTTGTTGCATTGTCACTTTATTCTGTAACTCATTTTCTCTCTGTCCTTTATCAGCTGTGGTTGTGGCCTTTCACGGGCTACAGGAAAAAGAACATAATAGCCACCAAGAGAGATGTTGAGGAGCTTCCACACATTCTCAGCACGCTTTTAAGCAAGAGGTGGGGAAAGGGCCGTGATCTGTATAGAAAATGCATATGGCAGGGGAGTATTACTGTAGATGCCAGGCTCAATAGCATTTACTCAGGGAACACTTATGAATCAAGAGGATCACTGTGTGCAACCTACAAGGGTACACATCTCAGGGGTGAAAGGGAAACTGCTGTTAGTGTTATTGTGTTGGTTTCTTTATCAAGAAAAGAGATAGCAAGTGTACAGTGTTGAAGGGGACAGAGGAAGTCCAGTAAACGTGGAATAATAGGTGTCTTGAAGTTTTAGATCAAGTCAACCCACTGGACAAGTTTAATAGTTATTTCTTACTCTTTGAGTTTACTGCTTCTGAAAATAGTTCAAGTCCTGTATCACACAAGGCAAGAGGCTGCTGTCATCTTAAATAACCAGAGGAAATGTGAGAATTACAAAAATAAAAATTAAATTAGAAAAAGAAAGACTAAGTAAGACAAGCTTGCATTCCGATTGGGGATTTTTGCTTCCGTCTAGCTCTGACTGGGGAATAGCTCTAAGTGAAGTCAAGATATGGATAAAATTAAAGCAAGAAGGGAAGATTGAGTAATTTAATTTCATTTTTTAATTAGATATGTTCGTCTTTGGAGGTAAAATATGTTAGTGGTTAAAGGAATAACAGGAAAACTAACCCTCAGGTTATAGAAAGGTGTTGAAGACCATGTCATGATTCCAGCATGTCTGGACAGTGGGTGACTAGCCCAGCAGTCTGATGTAGGAGCTGGAACGTGGGAGCACTCCTCCTGCTCTTCAGTGCTCCCAAAGATACAGTCAGAGCCAAAATCTGGCCAGCCATTTGTTTATTGGTGCTCTTCTTTCTTCCTCCATCCACCAGCCTTCATCTGGTGAAATTTCCATGGTTTCATTGTTGAAGACTGAAGGCTGCTATATGGCTGCCATAAATCATAAGAAGTGTGTTTACAGTGCTGCAGAAGTTTCAGTGGGTGCTTATGCAGACAGCACTCCAGAAGCACAGGGAAAAGAAATTATATAACACTTAAAAATTATTTTAAAAAATTTATAAGAAAACTTTTATACAACATTTTAAACAACCATGCCTTAAAGAGGAAAAAAAAACATCAGAGGCATTTATAACAAATAATGAAAGATGTGGAGGAATGGTTTTCAGTGTTGGCCAAGTGTCTACTGGCAAACTGACCAAACAAGTTGAAAATGGCTTTTCAGGGCTTGAATGAGTTAAACATGTGGTATCTAAGTCTGATGCATTGGCTAAAATTACCCAAGCCTTGTTTTTTTGGCTGATAGAAGACATTCTATAATCTAGTGGCATTTGGTTTCCTGTGTGCTCATGCCTATTGCACTTCTAATCCTAATTTGTAGTCTCCCTTTGCTTTTTTAGCTAACATCCCCATTGGCTACTCAAGGAATATTGTGAGACTTCTTGGCTTGGATAAATCTACACTCATTTTCCTGCAGAAAGTAAGTAATTTTTTTCTGTTTTGACACAGTTGCTAACTAATATTTTTATGGACTATATATATTTGAAAGATGCCTCTGTTGAATTCGAATTTGAAATTGCCCAGTTGCCAGAAATTATTAGTGAATGGACTGGAACAGACACACGTAGGCCGACAGTGCAAGTCCTGGTTTAGCTCTAAACCAGAATGCAAACGAAGTAAAAAAGATATCACTTCAAAGAAGGGTCATCTTGGGAGCTGCTGTCTTTTCCCATGTGTTGCAAGTCAGGGCTTGCTTGTCCAAAAAAGAGAGACAGGTTGTTAAAGAGTTTGCTTTATCTTGCTCATCACATATCTGTTCTAGTTAGGGATTGAGATGAAATATTGAAGGCACCAGGCCAGCAGGAGGACGCGCAGCGGGCTCCGGGGGCGCCGAGCCCCGCTGCCACCGGGCTGCAGGACACGCTGCTGCCTCCCAAAAGGCTGCAGGTACCTGCTGCAGGATGTGCTCGTCGTTTGGCTGTCCCTCTCCTTAAATAATGCATGTGATCACTGCTTTTTCCTGGCCTACATGGCTGGGAGTGCTGGGCTTCCACGTGAGTTGGGGTTTAGAGCAGGCTGAGCTGGGTTTGGTTGCAGGGAGAGCTTTGTGATCACCTGCTATGCTTGTTCATATTATCATGATGATCTGACATGATCCAAGGCCTATATTTTAAATAAAATCATGATACTCATTTTACTGCCAATGAAAAATATATCCTTTCATAAATAATTTTTTTAAATCAAATTTATAATTTATCTCTTTTTTTGTTGCCAATCATGTATAATTAGTTTGAAGTGAATGTAATATAATTATTCTAGCCATAGGTTGAGTCGCTTTCATGAATAATTCTTGGGTTAGGGTTTGTTTCTTTTGTGAAATTCAAACAGACCAGGTAACTGTCTGAGAACTAAGAGTTCTCTGTCCAGCTAAATTCTTCAGAATGATCCTTCTGGTTAATCCAGGAAAAAGTTCAAATACCTATGTCTTTGAGCTTGTGAATTTAATTCACTAAGAAAAAATACACAAGTTCACACAGGAGAACTAAACACACACGGTAGAAATCTGACTAAAATCTGACTGCTATTGGCAACTATTAGGATGTAAATTAATGTTAAAATAGTCAAATCAAGAACTGGATGGTTTGGGGGAGATATTGCTAAGCTAAATACGAGGTACTAGGCTCTCTAAAAGATTAACTTGGCTAAATTAAGTCAGATCATTAGCTGATCCAGTGGCATCTCTTTATTTAAAATTTCTTGATATAGCTGTGGCACAGGAATGACATACACCTGTGTGTCTGAGCTGCGTCTTGCATTTAACTTCACAATGGTACTTCAGCATTAAGGGAGAAAAAGTAGCTACATTTTAAAATGTTTCTGTTATAGGGAGTGGCAGTATCTATGCAGACTTGCAGGGGGTCTGTGCAGTACCTGTATCTAGTAGGTACCAAAATTCCTTATGTGTTGAAGGGAAGAGAATAATTTTATGGCTTGCCATGATCAGGAAAAAGCCCTGAAATTTGAAGATACTTCAAGATACGGAGCATTAGCGTTAGTCCTGGGAGAGAAGGATTGAAATAAGGCAATTAGAGATGCATACTAAATTAATTAATCCCACAGCTTTATCACACAGCTGATATTCTTCAGAAATAATTTGCAGGAAAATGTTTTTCTCATGTTCACCCACATATGGGATTTCTGTTCAGCAGAATTGCTGAACTGGAGGGGTCTGAGTGTGCTCAATACCATGAGAGGGGTGTACCAGAGATGGAAAGCCACATGAATAGCCAGCCTGGTATTCTACAGTTCTATGCTATGTTTTGCTTAATGTCATGGATACAGAAGATTAAATTCTGGAGTAAAAGCTTATCTATTTCTACACTTTAACTTTTATTGTATTTTATAACTCTAAATTACAAAAGGCTTTTTATTTTTTAGTTCAATGGACCTAATGCTTTCTTCTTGCTCCAAATTACCACAGAAAATAGACTTTAAAATTGGCAGTTCTCTCTCTATAAAACTAGCATGCTTAGATACCTTTGTGGTTCTTTGTTGTGAAGTCATACAAAACTTCAGCTCAAATGATATTAGGCATCTAAACAGCAAGCATTTAATCCAGCCAAGTGTAAGATGTGTAAGTCTCAGCTGCCTAGGAGAGAGATGGGAATGGCCCAAATCTGCCCTAGCTGAGGGAAAAAGATAGTTCACATTCCTTCCACCAGGGAGAAAAAGGAAACCCCAGGATCATTTATGAGTCCTGTATATGCATATTTGCAGAGAGGCACACATGTGCCTCTGGTGTTTGCCAGGCTCTGAACGCATTTACAATAATTCTAATTTACAGAGTGGAAGGGCTGGGCTGGTACTTGGGGTTATGGCACACTGGCACTTCTCCCAGCCTGTCGACATGTACAATTGAATCTTATTTTTCATTCCTGCTCCTGCTGTGAAAAATAAGCCTTAAAAACATTTATTGAAGTGCAGGGCGATGCAGCAGTGTCCGCCCACATTTGCAACCTGAGCCAGAGGCCGTGAGAGATGTGAGCTGGCCCTTCCATTTCCACACTTATTGTGGGGGTTACATGACAGCAGTACAGGAGTCAATATTAAGTGCTACTTTGCAAAAGAGTGGGGAGGAATCACATCAGGAAGATTTACACATCTATCTCTGAGTGGCCCTTCATTGCCATGCAGATGGAGCTGGGTAACAGTACAGCTCCCTCTTCTTGGAGCCATAAATAGCATCCCTGCATGCGAGTGCATATCCCACTCATCTTGCACTTAATTTTTAGGCTACAAATAGATGCGAAGCCCAGGTTTCTGTTTTGTTACACTGTTAATATTATTTCTGCATCTGCTTAATATGAAAAACATTTTTACTACCTTTCGTGTTAGATTTTTTCATAGCAAAAACTTATCTTTACTATGTTCTAAATTAAACTTTCATGCCTTTTCACCCTGCATACATTTTTTAGGCAAGGATTATACTGGAAATATTAAGGAGTTATTAGAAATTATGATTAATCAATTTTATTACAATAGCACTTAGAAGTCCCTGCTGAGACAGGAGACCTATTGCACTGGGCACTGTAGGGACACATAAAAGACTGAGTTTCTGCTTCAAAGAGCTGAAAATTGGACCAGAAAAGACATGTTTCTCTTGGCTTCAAGGGAAACTGAATAAGGGCTTTTGCAATATTCTTGAGCAAGCTGGAAGCCCCATGTTTCATTGAAGCCTTTTCTTTTTAATTTCACTGTTTCATAAAATATATATAATGAATGAAGCTGTATTGAATTTTTAGTTAAAAGAATCTCAGCCTATCTCTGCTCTGTCCCCCCACAGCCTGCTCCTTTTGCTCTCTTCATTTTTCCTGTGCAGGAGCTGTACAACAGCCCTGTGTTCTCTGTTCAGCAAACCTTTTCAAACAGCTACATTTGTGTCTTCTCATCACATTTCTAATATTGAATTTTCAAGTTTCAAAAGCCATTTTACTTCTCATTCTTGTTAGGTCTGTAGTTATGGGAAAATAGTCAAAACTTTTTAAGTAGCAAAGAAAAGGAGCAAGAAGGGAATGTCCTCCCCTCTGTCATTCTCCTCTCTATCAGCTCTGTTAGGAGTTATCAAAATGCTGCATGAGAACTGTGATGGTTAAAGACTATGCTCTCTCTTACCACTAACCTTGAGTCAGTTTTTGTACAGCAGGAGAAAAAAGGTAGGGAGCAGAGCTGAAGGTTATTGCCTCTGCTGATGCAAAGGCAGAGACAAATCTACCTTGGGAGACAGTGTAGAGTAGCAAGCTACCAAGTTCACAAAGTAAATCTTCCTTTGTGCTTGGGTTCAGCCTTGTGCTTCTGCAGCTCCTGCTCTGCATCTGGTGAGTTTTCCCTCTAAGCTCTCTCCCACCTCTCTCAGGAGCTGTGAAGAAGCTGAAATGAGAAGGTAAGGAGAGGAAATATGTGGGGGGCAGCCCCAGAGAGTGCCAGGCAAACTTTAAAGTGACTGATTAGTGCAGACAGTGACAGAGCAAGTTCCAGCCAAGCGTGATTGCTCCTAAGAAGGAATGGCCTTGTTTTAACTTGAATATTGTTCCCTGATAATCTGTGAAACTGGAGTGGAATTCAAAGAGCATTGGTCTGAGCATTAATCTGAGCACAGTGGTTTCTTGCAACTTGCTCTGATCTCCAGTGCCTTTAATCCTGCAGTAAATTTTGATTTGATTTCTCACTATGATATACCTCCCCATGGAGATGGACAAAGGAGAGCTGAGAGAAACTGCCCAGCCCAGTTAAGTATCGGAGGACCTGCTTGAAGCCATTGTGAATGAAAGAAATACAGCTTCTCAGGCTCTGTAATCTATTCTCTCTTATGAATAACAGGCTGATGGTTTTAAATTGAGTAAAACAAGTGGCTAAATCACCTTCTGGAAATGAACTACTGAACAGGAACTCAGTCTCTCCTGTGAATTTCCATAGGCAACAACCAAGCTCCCTGCAGTCGCTATGACACAAAAACCTGTTATTTAGCTTTCTCTGGAATCTGGTGAGTTATATTAGCTGACTCAGAAACTCTACCAGGACTCTTTCTGTCTGCTTCAAGGCACCTGGCTTTCAGGGTGTGACCAGCATCTCCCCCTCTAAGCGTGGGGTGTCTCAGTCCCAAGCTGGTTGCAAGGTCCATGATGCTCTCTCAGGCAGACTGGGGCTGGGGGGTCCAGACCCAGGCAGCAGGACTGGGACCAGCTCCTTCCCCTCATTTTCCTGCTTCTCCTGGGGGAGGAAAGCTGCAGCCTTCCACGTGCAGCTGTGCCAGGCTCTGGCAGGACTTTGTTCTAGGAGGGGTAGCCCCAGTTTGCCCTCGGCTGGGCAATGCTGCCCAGTGGCAGAAATGTGGTTGTGCCTCTCTTCCCTTTGATTCAGCACAGTTGTTAACAGCCTTGTCTTTCACTCAGTCTAGTGAAAACTTGGGATCAGTGTGGTTCT